TATCGAATATAAGCAAAGCTTCGAATATTAAAACACAGCAGTAGTTTAATGTATGAATGGGATCGCCAAAGAACTTCATCTTTTGACAAAAAAGAATCATAATAATGTGCATATCGTATAGCATAAAGCAAACAGTAGATCTGTACTCGAGCAACTGCAGGTAGCAAAATAGAATCTGGAACTACGAAACTAGAAGGCAGAAATAATGGAGGCAAACATGAAGAAGGCAACATGGAGGCAACAAACAATGCAGCATTAAGTAGATTCAGGTACTGTTATTTAACATTCATGAGACTTCATATAATTTATGACGAAGCTGAGAAGATGGATCTTCAATTCAGTTCTATTCTGGAAAAAATATTAAAATATTTGGATGATGTTGGAGGGAAATAAAATATTGCGAGAAACTGCTATGTCGTGATTGAGTGGCACTCTCAAGAATAGTCTTACTCATGCGAGTACTGTGAGAGACTACCAAAACATCCAAATGTCTTGGAAGAACATTGTGTGACGGGCAGCATATTCCAAAAACTTTTCTCATTAGCAGATATTCCTTTAGCATTTCGATGAGTCTTTTTATCAAGCCTGGAACATTCCCTTTCTTGCTGCATTGACAGACATGATGCCCCTTTCACACTTTTCGTTTTCATGATGCTTAACTACGCTTCACCTGCTTTAACACCTCCCCGTAGACACCATTCCATTCAATAGACATAATTAGCATAGCAGTGCCCGCAGTGCAGTCTAGCTTTAACGCTGGCACTTCTGCTGCTTTTGTCGTCATCTGAAGGTAAGAGGATTTAAAGTAAAGAGTGGCTCTGATTGGTGGTCGAATAAAACATTTGAAATTGCTTAAAGTCCTTGCAGATCATGGTGCCAAGCACGGTAAGTACAATATATTTGCCTGCTAACTTTACGAGGTCCTATTATCTCGTCAGCTGAAGCACATAGTCTTTGATCTCCGTATCTTAGAGAACCTACAAAGGATTATTAGTCTGAGTCTCGAAATGGCAAAAAGTAATGCGTTTATCTACCACGCTTGTATCGATGAAATCTCCCTCGAAGGATTTGATGGTAAGCCGAAAATGCTTCTGGCCATACGAAAACATTGGAAATGGCCTGTATATGATTTAAGGTATTACCTTAAACGGTTTATGGAAGCGACTCGATAATCGACCAGGATTTGGACAGATTATCGATTCTTACTGCAAACAGTTTCTCTGGCAGTTTCTGCGGAAGCATCCACATGTCAAGTTCTATGAACTGAAAGAGCCAAGAAAGCTGCTACAAGTAAAGTAAACTTTTGTTAATTTATCTGACGTTGGATTATAGGTGGCTGAAAAATAATTATTGCTGTGCGTGATAAATTCTCATATTTCGCGTATCATTGACGCAACGATTTATTTCCTTTGTTTGAAATAAAGTTAAATGAATGCCAACGTTCGAAGCCTTATTCACAACAGTTTTTGACTATGTCTGTCCTTACGCTAGGTGCAGAACATGAGTGCCTTCAATTTCCATGCTCCGTGATTCTTCCGGACGGTGCTAGTTCAGCTTTTCAGTAGGCACTGTTGATCATCGATATTACTTTCATAAATTATTAATTAATTAGTTAGCTTACTTTTATTTACTTTTTATTGTTTGATTAACTCATTACTTAAGTCCTGTTTTGCGTAGGGGGATCACTGTCGACTAATAATTATATAATCTTATGTTGTTTTTTAGGTAAGTCACAAACGGGAAGACAATACATAAAATAGTCTTTAATTAGGATTTCGGATCAAGCTCGGTCCGTCTTCATAGTTTAAATTGCAGTCTGCGTTGTCTTCTCGTTTGTGACTTACCTAAAGGTTTTATCACTTCCCGCATAA